AAAAAAAACAGAGACTTGGAGAGAGAGAGAAATTATGGGAAAAGCACGCAACAACAGAAACACACAGAGAAGAATTTTATTTTTTTTTCTTTCTTTTCTCGTGTAATTAAATTCATGACTATGTTTTCGAATACTAAGCGTGGCTAGTACTTTTATTTCTAGTTTCGGGGAAGTCGAACCCTACGATTGACGTTGTTTTGATTAATTTATATGGTTGATAATTTCAATATCTTTTTGGAATTGTTAGTATTATTTGACTGAATAACTTAAATTTGTCAAGTCTTATTTAAATTGATCACCTAAATTAGGGTTTTCATATCTATAGTTGAATTAGACCTTCAAATTATTGTTGTTGTGTTTAATTAATAAGAGTGAACCGGAAGACGATAACTATCGGGGATACCACGGCCTATTTAAGTGAACGAACGAGGTTGAATTCACTACTTAGTCTAGCATATTTTTCTAATTTATAAAACAGCTAAATGTATTAAATCTTGAAAACGGTTTTCTGGACTGTACAATAAATCAAATTTAATCGTAGAGCATCTCGCGATTAAATTAAAAATAAGAAAAAATTCGAGTAGCAGACCGTGTCGTTGACTAGGGCTAGTAATTCCATAAGATAGCGAGTTTTGATACCAAAAATTGATTAGACAAGTCGGTCGAGAGTGTAGACAGAATCGTGGACTAGAAGCTTCCCCATTAATTTGATTAATCATTTTTATTTGCTGCATTTGATTTCATTCCGTTATTCATAATTCTAGTAGTCAATTAATCTATATCAAAACCCCCCCTTTTAGTTGTATTTCTATGATTTCAATTAAAGAAAATAATACAATTAAATTCCACTCATGTGGATTCGACCCTTGCTCACTACTACTAGTTGGTAGAAGTCGGTTAAGGAAAATATAAATTTTAATTTGTCGCGTTGCAACGTGGTGGTTGAAATGGCGGCCATGTGGTGGCCAATAAGGAGACTTTTCGATATTTAGATCGATGCTACAAAAGGATGGCGGCATTGATGAAGATGTTAGGCATAGAATTGCAGCCGGTTGGTTGAAATGGCGTCAAGCTTCGGGCATTCTCTGTGATAAGAGGGTGCCACAAAGGGTAAGTTCTATAGGACGGCGATTCGCCCAGCGATGCTATACGGTGCTGAATGTTGGCCTACAAAAAGACAACATGTCCAACAACTAAGTGTAGCAGATATGCGGATGTTGCGTTGGTTTTGCGGGCACACAAGAAGGGATAGAATTCGAAATGAGGATATTTCAGATAGGGTCGGGGTGGCTCCAATTGAGGAGAAATTGGTTTCAACATCGGCTGAGGTGGTTCGGACATGTTCAACGGAGGCCTCCTGATGCACCGGTGCGTAGGGGAGTTCTACAGTTGGCCGATGTTGTTAAGAGAGGTAGAGGTCGGCCTAAACTCACTTGGGAAGAGTCGGTTCAGAGAGACCTTAAAAATTGGAATATCTCCAAAGATTTAGCGATGATAGGAGCGCTTGGAGGCTAGCGATCAACGTGCCGGAACCGTGACTTTTTCTCCTTTCTCTTTTGCTCCAATCTCTTCCTTTTGTTTTGTTTTTGTTTTGAGTTTTGTTTTTGTTTTGAGCTTTTTTTTTTTTTAACCACTGTTTCTATTGGGTTTCATCTCTAGCCTACCCCAACTTGTTTGGGACTAAAATGCTTTGTTTTTGTTGTTGTTGTTGTTGTCGCGTTGCAACGTGTGGTCAATTGCGGACCATCAACAGCAACATCGGAGGCGCGCTACGTCAGGGTTGGGCCGAGCAGTCAAGGACAACCCCTAGTCGTGGCTTCGCCATCGCCGAGGAAGGCAATTCGACCGGAAATTAGAGGGTGCGCTGATCGGATTTTCCCCTTTCTAAAATACCAACTTGTAGTCCACTTAAAATTAAGGTACAAGAAAACCTCAGTTTTCCACCCGATTGCGAATGTTCTGCATTTTAGATTTTTTTTTTCCCCACAAATTTCAAAAATACATCAAGTTGAAAATTGATGTAGCCATATTTATTGCACTCAGTAAAATTCTCAATTCCCTTTCACAAGACGGTCACAAAGAAAGAAGAAAAAAGAAGAACCAAACGAACACGATACCTGATAGAGACGAACAAAATTTCCTCTCTTATCAAGCAACTTGCTGACTGCGAGGCCTGGAATGAAATCGGACAATCTTTCATAATCAGTCAGTAAATCCCAGACTGCTTGGAGGCTGGCCTGTATGACTACCGTGGATCTAATTCTCCGGCTATTCTTGCCTATTTTCTCAATTTCTATCTCGATGCAATCGTCCCCACTTTCAGAATCAGACACTAAGTCATACGTTTCGTCTATGCACTCCTCAACAACACCATCATTATCATCATCATCTACAGGGTCCAGATTGTTTACAGAACCACTCTCGACAGAAGAAGCCCTAAATTGGGAATACAAAGCCTTTAACAACGTTAAGACATTATTTCTGGTCGAGAGCAGGACAAAGATAAATGTTCAATCATAACAAGGCACAAGATAGAGATAATAAAACTATACAGAAAAGCCATTCATTCACAAGAATCAGCAAAATTCAGCAGGTTTCAAGCAATAAAAAGGGCTACAATTATGCAGAAGCATTTTGAAGTACAAATCAGGGCAGGCGGCAAAAGTAGAATGCAACGATTGCTCGAAAGGGGTAATACCTGGCAAGGAAACGGGAGAGACGAACAATCAGAGGCTTATTCCGACAGAGAAAACGAAAGGAGGCAATTTTCCTCGGTGCAATCGAGGATTTTGCATCCAAAACTACAGTCAAGTTTGGGTATCCGGTGTTTAAAACAGGTGCCGCGGCCGATATCTTGGGTACTGTAATTGTACAGCGGCGAGGAGTTGCAGTAGTAGAGAACGAGGGGATATCCATTTGTTTTGCCAATCTGCTCCAACCATCACGATTCACGAATTTTTTACCAGAAAATTGAAAAAGAATTAAGCTGTGGAAAAAAAAATACACAAACAATTGAAGGTAGACCAAAATAAAAATCCCGTATTCAGTGAATACGTTTTACTATTTTTTTTTAATTGTAAAACGTACGTTTTCTTTTGTAAAGAAATCTGAAAATTTCTACCCAAATTGTATGGAAAACGTATTCCTTAAATACGTGTTTTTTATTGTTGTACCCTCCCTTTTTTTTTGTCCACATGTTTTTTTATTTTTTTAATATATAAATTGCTCTTCACGATTCACGATATACTACTAGTAGCACTACCGTATGCCTGGCACACCTAGCTAGGTGTGCCAGGGCAGATTTGCACGCGCCTCTCTCACTTCAAAAACAAGAAAATTTGAAGAGTGTAGTGCACATTCCTATTTTTTTTTTAAATTGAAAAATGGGACATGTTACATAAATTAAAATATTATTATTATTTATATTTAAAAAATAAAAATACCAAAATTCATAATTTTTCATTATCTATAAATAGAGACCACATTTGATAGGTTTTTGAACCCAACTAATTTTTCGTTTTTTCATTATTTTTCGTAATTATTTTATTATACTGACATATAATGAACATGTTACATAATAAAATAAATATGTTTTCAAATATGACGAACATGTTACAGATTGCAGATTGAAATAATACATATTCATCTTATTTTATAACATGTTCAGTTTATTCTGTATGTAACATGTTTATCTTATTCTATAACATGTTTATTTTACCATGTAACATGTTCATCTTATTCTATAACATGTTCATTTTATTATGTAACATGTTTACCTTATTGTGTATGTAACATGTTCATCTTATTCTATAACATGTTCATTTTATTGTGTAATATGTTCATCTTATTTTATAACATGTTCATTTTATTATGTAACATGTTCACCTTATTGTGCATGTAACATGTTCATCTTATTCTATAACATGTTCATTTTATCATGTAACATGTTCATCTTATTCTATAACATGTTATTTTATTATGTAACACGTTGATCTTATTTTAGAACATGTTCATCTAAATTTCATCTGTGAAAATGTAACATTTTTATCTTATTCTATGACATGTTCATCTTACTCTATAACATGTTCATCTTACTATGTAACATATTCATCTAATTATATATTTATGTCATAATCTTCCAATAAGATAAATTAATTGTAAAAAATAAAAAATTAATTGTGTTTAAAAAATATCAAACGCAGTCTCTATTTGTAGAGAATGAAAAATTATGAATTTTTGTATTTTTATTTTTATTTTTTGATACAAAATATGAATGATAATTTAATTTATATAATATGATATATGAATTTTATTGCTCAATAAAAATGGGACACATGTCCCATTTTTTTTTAAAAAAAAAAATTCTTACCTACTTACCTCACGCGCTTTTGGGAGGGTGCATTTCACAAAAGGCCTTGGCACACCTAGCAAGGTGTGCCAGGGCACACCTAAGTATTTGCGTCGTCTTAGATGTCTATTATATACAGTTTTGTGGCATCAGATGGGTCGGATTATGGAGTTGGGGCTTATATGTGACACTTGGCATCCTTAAACTATTGTCCCCTATTAATTAAACAAATGTTAATTAAACTACTAGTACGAATCCCGTGCGATGCACGGGTAGAAGATATTTTTTAATTATTATTAATTAAAAAATCTCATTAAATAATATTATAAATAAAAAATTGAATCAATATACAGTACAATGTACTATATTAATTTATTAAAAATATTATATAAAATTTAAATAGTACAAAATTACATAAAAATGTCTATTTAGAATTAGTACACAACTCACGTTTTGCACATAATTGATAATAAATTACATTATATTCGTTTCAAAATGTGTATCATTTCAAAATTTTTATTCAGAAATTCGATTTGATTATAAAATAATTCCATAAAATAATTATTTTGATAAATTTTTATCGTATATTTAAAAAGCTATGTGAATAATAAGTATAATATAAAACTTATATTGTTTCATTAATTAATATGAATTTATTTTTGTATAAAACACTCGTATCAAAATATTTAAGTAGTTGAGTAAAAACAATCAGCCATAAGTTTTTTTATGCCAAAAAAATTGTCACTTTTTATCATGCTATAACAAATGAACAGTGTACTTCACAAAAAATTATTTGAAATGCCGTAATATAAAATGAATTAAACCGATACCCACTAATTATACAAAAAAGAAAAAATTGATCAGAGCTTTTTTTATAAAAGAAACATCGATACCCGCACATTATATCAATATATCCGTTCATATTATTTGTCGGAGTTACAATAATTTTATTATGTTAATTTCATACGAAAAATTGAAACTCACACCTAAAATCAATATATTGACCTGGTTATTACAACAAAAAAGTACATTGTATATTGATTAATTTTTCGAAAACTTCGTACAAAAAAATAGTCATCAAATAACATGAATAAATTTGCTCACTTTATATCATATATCAATTATTGTTTCCTATAGAAATAATCATCAATATCAAAAATAAATTCGTCCACTTTATACCGTATATTAATTCACATGATTTGAATAATCAAGGTATCTTAAAATATGGTTTAATTACTTCTTTAATAATGAGCTGCAATTTTCATAAGTGATCTTTTGATATATACCATAAATTGTTAAATTAATTTTCTGAAATAGTAAATAAAATTTTTCTGAAGGAAAATAATTACTATCTAAAAAATAATCAAACCTTTTTATAGATGTATAGATTAGCATGAATTTAAAACACATATCGCGAAAACTGATCTTTTTAAAAATATATAAAGTTACCTAATAAAAGATTTTAATATAAAAACAATTAACATGCGAAAAAAAAAAAAAACATGTTTGATGCATTTAAAAAATATACCGAAAAACACCTATTATGTTTCTTAAAATAATTAAATAGTCCAGCTAATATTAAAACAACACACATTCGTAGAATAGATAAAAACACTGATATTTATTCATACATATGTAACAACACTTTTTAGCCCGTATAATAGAAAAATATAAATATTTAATATTACATACATAACAACACATGACACTGTTCTAATTTATAATATAATTACATAAATATTTGATCTAATTTTTTTATCGTCTCTATCTCGTATGAATCAAAATTCTGTTAAATAAATATTTGATTACTTGATAAAGATTCTCTATATATAAATGGGAATGACCATTTTCAAAATATATAATGCAAGAATATTAAAAGAATACTTGTATAATATTTTCTGAAAATATCTTTTAAAAAATAAAGAAGAATATTTTGACCAAAATTATTTTACTAAATGCTTATCGCTTTTATATAAATATAAATCAAATGAAATTTATCAGGTAAGTAGTTATAATTATCATGAATCAATTGAAAAGATATTATGGACAATAGTGATATTCATCCGTAGTAATCATTTATATATTTTGGGCATAAATTATTTAAGTTTGGAATATCAGATTTATCCTTCATAGTAAGGGATCGGAGAAGATTCATTGTTAATATTATTTTACCTTGGTTAAAAGAAGTATATCAATAAACTATTTCAATAAATTTTCCTTGTATGAAATTTAAAANAAAAAAAAAAAAAAAAAAAAAAACTTTGGAAAGTAATATTTGATTATTTTATAATAATTTTTTAATTGACCTTCAGTTATTAGAGTATCTGAATTTAAGATTTGGACAACAAAATAATCACTTGTCTCCTAGTTTATGAAAAGATAAAATAAATAAAAAATGATTTGGTAATAAAAATAACAGAACCTTTGGTTTTTACATATTGAATATTTTTAAAACTCAATAAACTTGTCAAATGCAAGATTACTAAAAAACTTTGAAAAAATTTACCAATAATAGTAAAACCGAAAATTTGAGCAGGAATTGTCATGCAATTTTTATATTTTTTCTTATTGCTATTATATAATAACTAGTACAAATCCCGTGCGATGCACGGGTAAGAGATATTCACTGATATTTATAAATTAAAAATTCACATTGACTAATATTTATAAATTAAAAATATGGAATCAATAAATAATACAATTTATCTATATTAATTTATAGAATTTAATATTAGGATACAACTCATGTGGTGCACAAACTAATAATAATTACATTTTATTCGCTCCAAAATAAGTGTCATTTCAAAAGTTTTATTTAGAAATTCAACTGATTATAATGTGATTCCATAAAATAATTATTTTAGTAAAATTTTATCATACAATTAAAAATCTTGTGACTAATAAATATAAATATAAAACTTATATTGTTTATTAATTAAAATGAATTTATTTTTTTATAAAATATTAAAAAAAATTAAGTAGTTGAGTAATTATTATATTATAAATAATTGACTATTCCATTTATGTCTAAGTTAATATTGACCCGTAAATTATGAATAAATATTTATTGACTTTTAAATTTTCAAAAACGATAAATAATTTTTTTCATGAAACAGTTACAGTTTTTATAAAATCCAAATATATTTCCTTATATATTTCATTTGTATCAAATTTTTACACCAAATATAATATACACTTCGTAATAGTTGCAGTATATTATATATCTACCATATATATTGTACATTGTCATTCTATTATATACTAAATTTAAACTATACAACAAATAAAAACAAAAAAAAAAAGATAATAACTGCAATATTTGACCAAAATAATTATATACATTATTTACATTGATTTTTTAATTTGAATTTCAAATGATTGAGCTCTACTTTTTCAAAATGTTTAAAAAAGTTAGTATAAATGTAAAATTGAAATATTTTGGCAACATATATGAAAATATCTACTCTCAAGCTATGTCCCCTCTAAAGTACAAATATGCAAATAACTTGTTCTTGGAATCTTGAACAGCCTAAAAAGGTTAAAGGCCAACAATCACTTCATTATGAAA